CAATTTACCGCGAGATTAAACAAATATTAAATTTTGATGCAAAAAAATTATTAAAAATTCTCCGAGGAACATTTTCTCTCAACACGGTTTCGAATGGCCTTTGAAACATTTCGTAGATATTTGCGTTATCAGAATCAATTTGCTAAATATGTACAATTATATTAGCCACTTTCATTTCATTACTCATGCGAAAGATGCGTGCCTCGCATCACGTGGACAAACAATATTACGTGATGATACGAGCACATTTGGCCTTGTCGGGTGCAACAGTCAGCAGTTCTTAGAATGTATTAATAAAGGACAGAAAGTTCGCGCACAGACACGTCTAGCGATTCTTGCCAGACTGATTCAGATGCTCAAAATACATGCATATATAACGCATTGCACGCCTACGCAGTGACATTGCGTGCCGTGCAAATCGACACGTACGCTTATATCGCCGTTCGCGTTGAATAAATTAAAAGGAGATGAAAAGATAAGAACAAGCACTTGATAAAAAGATTGCAATTTAATTACAGAGATATCGTATGAAAAAAATTATTAATGACTAACGCACGTATTAAAATGACAGCAAGTACAAATCCGCACGCGATTTTAAGATCTGAGATACTGGAAAGAGATTCCTTTCATTTTCCTTCAAAAAAAAAAAAGTTTTACATCCGCAATGCACGGCGAATGACACGGTAGTCAATAGTTGTTGTAGTATGTGTGAAAAGGGGCAAACACTCAATTAGAGTGTTGACGGTCGTTAACTCAGGAGCTCGTTAACCGTACTACGACGTGCTACATTTGTAAATCTGAGTATATTCATTATTACCAACACGCGCGTATTTTACTGGCGACTTATCGCGTCGAATACATGATCGATCATCGCGCTCTTAAGCGCGTCAAAACACGAGTATATGTCTTAATAAATAAAAGAAGTTGTATCTTTCAATTATCAGATTATGTCAAATACGCGGTATGAATTAATATAAAAAAATTTACGCACACTTAAAAATAGTAAATATATTGCTTACATATATATGAGGATAATACATTTTACTTCACTACTTTTTAGGAAAAAATTGATGATGTTCCTCAATTTTATCATTGGATTTAATATAAAATGATTATTTTTAGAAAGATTATTTTTAGATTTTAAAATGATTATTTTTAGAAAGTAATTGCCAATTTTTTTATTTGTTTTTTTATCCATCGTAACAATTGTTTCAATTTCCTATTTAGTTGCATCTGTAAAATTTACGAAGATGTTTATTACAAGGATTATTATATCCTTATTCTAATACTATGTGCCAATTTAATATCATTTAAAAGCAGCAGATTGAAACATCCGACAAATACGAGAATGCACGCGAAATGGCTTCTAATTTGTTTCTCGAATTTATATAATGCTAATAATTTATTTCAACATCGCGATGCGTTAGCATCCGACGACCGCGAAGACATAAATCACATCGGGTCTCTAATGTTGCATTGAAATTCTAAAATTAGCAATAAAATTAGCAATAAAATCAGCAATAAAATGCGCGAATCAAAAAGGTTAACACGAAATTTTGTCCGAAAAGAAATAATACTGAGTCTGCTACATGTATTGGGATAAAGGGAAAAATGTATTTGATTTTCTTTAAAGAAGAAATTATATGCGTAAAAGACGAAATATAAAAAAAAATGACTTAAATCTTTGACTCACATATATTTGTTATATGAAATACAAAATTATCATATATATGAAAATAATAGACAATTATTTTAAGATAAAAAAAATATTATTATTGAACTTTTTTCAAACTCTAGAAAACTTTAGAAAATTACTACAATAAAATATTCTGATTTGGGATATTTAATAAAAAAATGTTTTTCTTTCTTTCTTCTAAAAATACGAACAATATTACATAATTCGTTCAATTGATACAACTGTTCCTTAAGCCACGTATCCCGTTGATTCTTGAAAGAGTTAAATATGAGCGATCGTTTTCCAAGTATTATTAATCTACGAGACTTGTTTGCAAAGTGTATCGCGATATCGCGTTGATGCCAATAATGGATGAGTTCTAGCAATCGGATCAGCGAATAAATCGATTTCCATAGACGTTTCTATGCTTCCCGGAAATGAAAGTCACTGCGCGCTAGTGTGCAAATTTTTTTTGCGTGGCAATTCGAATAAATTATAAATATCCTGATAAGACCGCCAGTGCTGTACGGCTTGTCGATGTATAAGGCTTATTGTCGTGAATCGCGAGTTTATATCGCAACGACGTCGTAAACTCGTGCTAGCGTTTGGTTGATAAATTAATCTACGATCGTATATGCGGTACGAGCTCAGGCTTGTAAAAATGAAAAGAATAAATTCGTGTAAAGCGCCAAATTAGAAATTGATGCTCGTATGCGACACCGCGATATTCACCTTACAAGCCAAATGGTTCTTACTATCTCTCTTCTGATCGTTTCTTCGCTTCTCTTAAATTGTGTGTAGCATATATTAACATATATCTTAGCTCTTCCTACATAACGAATAACGAGTTACAATCACGTCATACATTATATGTTTATTCAACATGAATTTCATCTCTTCGGAAATAAATAATAGCCTATTTATTTATATTTAATGTTAATTGCATTATATAGTAAATGTTATCATTAAATAATAATATAAAACGAAAAAATAAGTATATAAATACCGAGGAAAGAGGAGAAAGATATATAGATTTTATTAATAAATGAAATAATTATTAAATTCATAATGTAATTAAAATCGACGAAAAAAGAGCAGAAAGTGTTAACATATAAATATTAACGTCAATAGTAGTTTATTTCAAGATAAGATTAAGTGTAATTAAGGTATAATTATTTCTCAATTGATCGCAATTATGTATTACATGTAACGATCGTAAAGGGAAACGTATATTTTGAAACATGAAAATTATTCTATTTATATGTAATTTCGCATGCCACCGTGATATTAATTATTATCTTGCGCCCAGCTTTTATTATTTTTCATGTAATTCTATACGGATTCGATATTGCATGTTATTATTGCTACAGTTCGCTTAATAGCTTTTTTTGACACGCTAACTGAAACCATAACGTTGCAACGCGGCACGCGATTTTATTTAGCTCTGAGAACTTTTGGATCTGCTTTTACGTCAGTTTCATCGTTAATTAAATTCGTAAGCTAATTTCTCAAAAAATCACTAAATCATTAAACATGTTGGATCACTTTGTCATAAACCGTGCCGTTATCATTTAATTATATCTTATTAATCGCTAAATGAGAGAATAAATGATTACGAAGATATTATAGCAATATGCATTACTATTACTTTATGACATCGTCTTCTCCGCGAGATTGCCGGTTCTTGCTGCATTAAACCCTTCTTTTATCATATACTCGCACGTCTTTATAAACTGGTCGGTAAATGATCACGTATGCGCAAGAATCGAACACATCTTGCACACTTTGAATGACGTATCCGCGAATACCAATCTCATATATTATCATTATCGATTTTCTAAGATGGCAACTTACATTTAATCGACAGCTTCCCGGTTGTATAGAGTTCTATTCTTGACTAGTGTACATGTTGTGATAAACATGCAGAAACTAAAATCTCTGCACGAGACACGAGATTTGAATGTTTTGATCATTGATTAAAAGCTGTAAGCCAAAATTACGTTTATAACGCTAAATAAATCGTTCTAAACGTCAAAAAAACAGTAGATTTCGAAGATAATTCTAAAAAAATTATCTGTAAACAAGAATACTCCATTCGGATTAAATATTAATATAAAATCAAGAAAGTGCAATGATATTTTAATAACTAAATTTCAGATAATAAATCTTTTGACTTTAATTGATAAAATTTAACTCCACACATTTTGTAATAAATAATATCCGTTCGTGATTCTCTCCTGCTAATCCTAAGATATTCTATATAATTCTGTTTAAACGACTTATTGACATTCGTTGTGCGGTCAATGCCGCACGGCGATAGATTGTAGAAGTGCATACTTTGCAAAAAATCGCAAGTATGCACGATTTACGCTTTCATGCACAAATCGTGGTAAATGACGCGACTAACACGCCGATACATCTTCGCGACGCATATTTAATCGCGATGACAGCAACATGTTGGATGAACGAAGGGAGGCAAATATGCTGGAGACACTTAAGCCAGTTTGGCCAATCATCCATTTAAAATCAACCTGCGCTGCTTCTCGTCGAATCAAGTTGATTCTAAATATTCACTTTTAAATTGCAGGAAATTAAATAGATCGAATTATAATTTTTAGATTTATTAATTTATCTCGATTTTTGAAGATTATTTATTTTTATTCTTTAAAGATTATTTCATGAATTATAGCATCTTAATATCAAATATTTTTTAAAACAATTTTAAAAAATATTTGATATTAAAATACTATAATTCATGAAATAATCTTTAAAGAATAAAAATAAATGATCTTCAAAAACTATTAAAACAATTTTTAAAACTATTAAAATTTTTAAAATTATTAAAACAAGAATTTAAAATATTTTCTATGCCTCTTTTAAACTAACAGAAGCTTCATTAAACATAAAGGGATTATGAATTATGCTATAAATTCATGAATATCCTATAAATGTGTTGTTAATATTTTTTTTCGTGTCAAAAAGCGTCATTTCACTTTTCTATAATCAAAATTGAACTCGCAACAGGTCGAATATGAACTCGCTACTCCACTCGTCAACTTTAATTATGCGGCACGTACTGCACGCATCGTCCATCATTTGCTCATCGGCGAAAGAGAACAGATTAAGAGAAATTAAGAGACAAGCAATGAATACCGCGTTGAACACCCTGTATTTAGCGCGCGCACCGCGCTACAGGTGGTGAGATACCCGCGGTTGCGTTCGTTTTGCAATGTGAGATTGTCACGCACGTCTTTAATATTACTCACGCTTAGCGTTACGTGTGCTGCGCATACCCCGGAAACTATCGAGGAATTAAAGTGATTACCTTCCTGTATATGCGAGCACGTATTCCGTCCGGTGTCGTATTCCACGAGATGAGTAGTGCCGACCCTTGCCGCAGATTGAACACTATGTATGCCTCTCCTTCCCGAGAAATCCTGAAACAAAGAAAAACAAAGTAAGAAGAGAATCGAGGCTCGCTCGTTCCCGATAATTCATTTCGTTTACCGGACCCCGCGTTCAGATACGCAATCGCGTTCGCCTGCATGATCCATACGCTAGATCGTGTCACGCACATATTTAATACGCGCCCAGCGTGTTGTGTAGGAGCTTTGAGAAATTAAGATGATTACACTGTAAGCGCATTATATCCAGTAGAGTTGCAACCGGTCATCGAGCCGAACGCACTCCTGCGTTTCTCTTCGAGTACAAGAGTTCGGGCTTCAAAAGATCGATTATTATTCCCGATAACTCATTTCACTTACCAATCACGTTATACGGGTTATACTATGCGAGATATGCGTTCGCGTGGTGAGATCTACGTCAAATGGACGTTAAAAACAGGCCTTCCTCTGGAGCAACCGCGCCCGGCGCCGGGACAAATAATTCTCGATCGAATTCTTTATCGATAGTATAAACACCGAGTGCGCCCATGTTACATGTCTCCGCATGGTCGCAGTTGCAATTTTGCGCTGCAGCTTCATTCATCATACCAAGACAACACTATCGAGCTATTCGATGGACATTGACGCTCGAGATAAACGTCATGAATTACGAGTCGGCTGAAAATACGTATTCATCGCACCCAAGATTGGATCATTAGAGAGAAAAAGACTCCACGGATTAAAACATTCAGAGAACCTGTTCCTTCCCCGTCCGATTATGCCGTTGGATTTTATATTTGTATTCGAGAAACATGTACCGTCCAACGATCGAATCATTTATTGTCGTAATAAATAAATCTTGTAAAACAATTTAACGAAATTAATGATAATTATTATCTTTTGCAGCGATTTTTCAAAGGATATCGGTATCGAGAGGTCAATTAAAGATTCAAGGCGTAGCAACCTGTCTTTACCTCTGCATGGACTCCTGCGGTCTACTTTACGGTTCTGTAAGTAAACTCTTTTAAATAAAATTTATTTATTTTTATTTAACACGAATGCACGAAGATTTTATTTTTCGTGTCAATAAGTATAATATATGCTACGAAAAAAATTCAACATTAAATTATATTTCTTATTGTTTTTCAAGCATTACAAATAAAGCCATCAATATTTAATTTTTTTTTAAATAAAAAATATTGCATTTATGAGAAAGAAAGAGGGAGCGTCAATATTTTATATAGTGATTTCAATGCTTTAGGAAATAGTGCTTTAAGCGAATTTTCTTTTTCTCCCAATCTTTTAAAATAAATTTTACATAATATTATTATTAATTAATTAATTCTATTATATTTATATATTAAATACATTATATAGGCGTGTGGTTTTCTCGATATGCATTATTCTTCGGCTTTCAAAATACTTCCTATTATATCTCTTTGGATGCAATCTGATCTTATGATCGAAGTACACGCGCTCGTAAGGATAAACAGAAGGAGTAACGAGAGCCAATGAAAAATGTGCTTCTCGATCGATGACTGCTTATAATCAACCTGTTCTCCGCACGCTCGTTCTTTCGAACATGCCAAGAAGAATCGTGTTATAATCATACCCCTGGCGATTGTAATTTGATGTTAATAAGCGCACGAAAGCTTCGTTCGCTTCCATATCGACATATCGCCGACGGTAGTTTGAACGTAAAACCCTAACTTAATTACAAAGCTCTCCTCGTAAGCATCAAGCGTCTTTATTTCTATTTATGTCGACTTGATATTATATCAAAAGTGCAATAAAAATTGCGAATTAATACAAAAAATCCTGAAAACGAAATACATTTTGCTTCAAACAAAAAATAGGCTAAGTCGAAAATTTCATTTTAACAGATTGTCATATTTTAAAATTAATTTTTTTTTAAACGAAAGTCTAGTTTCACATTAATAATAATAATTTACAATTACCTAAATTATCGATTATTTTATTATTATTTATATTATATTCATTATTATGAATGATATATATTTTAGATATGAAAATACGTAGAGAGAGAAACCCTTTATTAAATCATATATTTTCCGGTCATAAATTCTGATACTGATTATCGACATACTCTGTAGATTCTCCCGCGATCGACAAAAACTCGAGAAAAACTTTCAATTGCTCAATCAACTGTAAAATTCTAACTTAATTACAGCCCATAGGACTTCATGAATATAAAATATATGATACACGCCTGACCACTTAGATTAGAGCTTCAAAAAAATTGTCAATAGTGACGGAAGGAATATGCATTCTATCTTCGAAAACACTTCAAAAGTTATAAATCGATTAAGGCGCACGATGTGAATTAAAATTGACTAATTATATCAAAAATTATATGATGGCAATCTAAGAAAATTACAGATAGAAAGACGTTCATGTTTGGAATATTGAGTGTGACATTAAATCGATATTTTTATATAATAGCCATTCTTTCCTTACGATATTTGAGAAATCGTGAACTTCATCTCAACTATATGTATTTGGAATTAAATTAATAAAAGTGAAATGATGCTTCGTTGTTACAAGACATAATGAGTTAAATTGTGTAAAATTAATTGTTAAAAATTTTGAAAAACTAACTTCAAATACAAAATAAAATTTTACATTATAGAATTATTTTATATTTTCATGTTTCAAATTTTTAAGATTTAAAAAGATTTGTTAAAAATTTCAAATTAAAAATTAATAAGCATATTTGAAATTAAAATTCTCACAATGTAAAAATTATTATAGAAAATTCTCATAATTTTCTTATACTTTTTTGTAATAGTAGAATTAATTATTTGTCATATGAAAATGTACAACTATTAAGATGTGTTTCACGTATTTGTGCTCCGACATTCGACGCTAATTTCGTTGTACGCGAGACGAAAATAATTTCATTTGATCTCAAGAATCGCCAATCAGTTTCAATTTTATTGCAAAGCGATCCGACGTAGTAAGTAATTTTCAATTCTAAAGATCAATGTTTCGTTTCAGTATGCCTGTAAATGACGTATCGTCTCATTTATACCAGGCGTATCTACCGACATGTCGAGCATATCTTACCTATGATTAGGTTGATCGGCTTTATTTCCTGTTTACACTGCTCCAGGTGGTAGATAATTAAAGGATAAAGGAAATCTCGTAGTTCCCTTTAGATTCATTTCTTCGGTGCACGCATGTTCACATCTAGCATAAAATCTAACGTTGAATTTTTTGTTATTTTTATTCGAGTCTTAACAACTATTTTTTACATTCTTTTTTAGGGTGATTTCCGAAGAGATTACAACACTGGAAATTGACTCAAGTTGACACTTGAAGTATCAATAATATACTTTGCGAAAACTATATAATTGTGAAAGAGGTAAATTCAGTCGAATTAATTGCATTAATTGCATTCGCACACTATTATGTTATTTTACAATTTCTTTGAGATATAAAAAAACAGCGATTAAAATTAAAATGTCTCATTAATGAACACTAATAAAGATTTAATCCATAGATTGTCCACAAATATCATTATTAATCATGTTAATCTTACGTGTACATCAGTATTAAAATTCGAGCAGCGAGACGTAGTTTGAGAACTGCTTCGCCATCATGCCGGATGAAGCAGCAAAAGAAGCAACCCGCGGAATGCGAAACACTCGGCGGTTAATCGGAAGCGTGAAGCACGAACGGGTAGCCCGAGAAAGCCGGCTGGTTGTCTGATTATCGGTCTAACTTGGAACCTACCAGCGGATATAAAATGGAACGCGAAGGAAGTCCTCGCAAATATGTATGTTACATTAGGTCGAGAAGAAATCCGAAGGTTTTTCGAAAGACCTTACAAGATCTCGTTATCGTCGTCATCATCATTGCACTCGTTGAGTCGAACACGTGCTCGCTCGCGTCAAACTTGTTTGATCGCCGTAATCGTTAATCCAGTAAGGATAAATTTCAAGATTTATGCAGCAAAAAGCAACGAACGGAATTTTGAAGTATACTCGATATTTGCGCGTATGAAGATCGACCTAATTGAAGTCATTATAATCATCCTATTATGATTTTTTTTTCTTGCGTGAGGAGTAACGAGACGTAGCTCGATTTATATATAATCAGTATAAATTTTTAATTTCTAAACTCTTCACATCTATTAAAACTTGTATATTCTGCAGAATATAAAATAATCGTAAATAATTAAAATTTTTTAATTACAAGTTAAAAGAACAATTAAACAAATAATTAGTTAAAAAGCAATTAAATAAAAAAATATTTAGAATATTAAAAAAAATATATATATAGTAACTTTATAAAAAAAAATTATATTAAACTGTCACTGTAAAATATAACAAAATATAACAAAATAAGATACTTTAGTAATCATAGTCTTTATTAAAAATGAGGCCGTTGCGTCTTTTATAAAAGTTTTTGCCCTTATGAATAATTTCGGCATCACTGTACATCCTCAAGGCAACTTACACATCCACTTTCCTCCTCCTCTAGTCAGAACGACCGAAACATCGCTTCACACCTCACCGGCAAATTGGATCCGCCGAAGAGTCGTGTCTACCAAACGATGCCGACAAGGCATCCTTTTGCGGTTTAAATCGGGGTCAATTTGAAAGTTAAACGAACTCTCTCGCGCGGCGCGGACATTCTTACCTTCACGAGGCCGATCCCGAAAAAAATCCCAATCTAGATGGATGCAAGGTCGGTACCTTTGATGGCGTAACCACAATTATAGGCGCCATATATCGCGTGTTTATAATTTTAAATGTTGCCTTGGTATTTGGTATTCTTCGTCCTTACGGCCGTTCACACGCTTTTTTCGGCTGAAGTTTGAATATATTTTCATGCAATATAAATATGCATACTCTCTGACATTACATTATATTACATATATGAGACTGTTTGCAAAATAATGATCGATATCTTAAGCATCATTTTAATAAAATCTAATTTTCAAACTAAGAAAAACATTAAATTAAAAGCAGGAGACGCAGATCAGATCTCAAATAGTGTATAACGCATTAATTGGAAAATAAATATATTTATAATATTTTTTATATTATATTTTTATAGCAATTCCGAAATCTAATATGTTCTTATTTAGAAAACCAAAAAAACAAGATTCATTATTTCGATTTACTTGGAATTATATTTCCAATTCTCTTTTCTCTTTGAATTTAATGGTTCTTTCCATCGCGCCTCCTCGCGAGTGTTAAATCGATCGATCTTTTTTTCGCGTAAGAGTACAGGTTTGCATCTTGCACTTTACATGCATCAGAGCCATCTTTACTTTGATTCACCCCTGCGGGTCTCTCGAAGATCACTCGATAATGTGAGAGGCGCGACGGTGCCGCCCGATTCGATCTCATCAGGCTATCTTTTTAGACGCTGGAAAGTATGAGGTAATAAACGGTCAATAAATGATTGGACATTTATAATTGCGCTTTTTAGAGACGCGTTAACGCATAAGAAATTGCTCATTCATGATCGATACAATCGCAATTTCCTGCTCGATATTGATTCACATTTTAGAGATACATCTCACTAAATAATTGAATGTTGTAATTAATTACAGTTAATTTAAATAAGATTTCTTTCTTTTATAAGATTGGAAGAGCTACACAATTATGTAATAATTTCCTTTTGCAAAAAATTCATATCTATATAATGTCATCAACATTTAAATTTATAATAATAATTTTCAAAATTTAAGAAATTACAAGTTTGACAAAAAAATTTAAGAAATTACAAGTTTGACAAAATAAGTTCTAGAATAATAGATAAAATTTTTGCTTTTTACTTAATTTGAGTTTAATTTAATGAAATCTTATATCTTAATCTTCAGAAAGTATACGGCCATGTATAATTATTTATTCATATAAATGAAATACATAATTCGTATAATAATATTTTACACTTTCTGAAGCCAGTTTCGATGGACGGTTCGTTACTTTTATCAATTAAACATGATTATTATTATAACATCAGATAAGAATAT